AGAAATGGATTCCTCTTGTAATTCTCACTAAAATTAGAACGAAATACCTTCATCTTTTTGTCTTTCTTACACTTCTTCAACATGTTATAGACTACAAGGACTTTACTCAAATGGGACTTGGTTTCAACCCAAACATGTCTAGAATAGTCATCAACAAAGGAAACCAAATATCTATTACCTCCCAATGATGCCTCCTTAGAAGGCCCCCAAATGCCCACGTGAACTCCATTGAAAAGACCTTTAGCTCGATGAATAGAGGTGCTAAATTTCACCTTGGTCTTCTTGCTCACATCAAAATCGATTTTCCAAGAATCGAGATCAAGGGCCGGGCTTGGCGATTCTTGGAAAGCATTCTTCAGCAACAAAGAATTTAGATACTTGGCATATTAACTGATTATTCGGTTCAAACAACTCTTTTGACAGAGTTTTGCACTAGTTCTGAGTCATAAAACTCGTGAAGAGTTCTCTAATTATTCCAGTGAAATTGAGACGTGTGGGTCATCAACGAGAAGCAAACTCGACGCGAGCATTCGAGGAAGGCATCTCATCGCTACCGTGAAGAACCCAGACTTAAACAAAGGGGAGAATTCAGATCAATTCTTATCTCTTTTGTAATCAGAATTCAAATTATAATTAAGATCGAGAGAATACAAATCAAAAAAATTTTATTTTATTTACTATAAAATTTCCACTAAACACTCCATCATCGAAGCCTCATCAAAAGTGACATTCCCAGACCAAACTTCCAATTGAGTTTTACCTCCTATCACAGCAGTTGGCAACCCTTTAATAAGGTGACTCGAATATGTCGAAGCCTCGGTCCAGAAACTCTTCTGCAAACTATTTCTTGACCATAAACACTGATCCTTCTCCAGCAAGACAAGGTTCTCTAATTTTGCCACCCCATCTAGTTGCCCCAAGATTTCCTCTCTAATGAAGTGTCTCCAATTGGGTTGAGCTCGGCATGAATACAGAAATGGATTCCTCTTGTAATTCTCACTAAAATTAGAACGAAATACCTTCATCTTTTTGTCTTTCTTACACTTCTTCAACATGTTATAGACTACAAGGACTTTACTCAAATGGGACTTGGTTTCAACCCAAACATGTCTAGAATAGTCATCAACAAAGGAAACCAAATATCTATTACCTCCCAATGATGCCTCCTTAGAAGGCCCCCAAATGCCCACGTGAACTCCATTGAAAAGACCTTTAGCTCGATGAATAGAGTTGCCAAATTTCACCTTGGTCTTCTTGCTCACATCAAATTGTTCACTAGACTTTAAACTGTAAATTGATGCACCTTTTTCCAAATCAATACTGGAATGACCAAGCCTCAAATGCCGTAGTCTAGTCGAATCAATAGAAATCGCTAGCTTTCCATCTGTCACCGTATTTCCAATCAAATAGTACAAGTTATTATTTCTGACACCCTTCATCATAATCAAAGTGTCTTCCACAATCTCGAGAACCATGTCCTCAATACGAACTTTCAGACCCTCTCCAACTAAAGCTCCAATCGAGATCAAGTTCTTCCTTAAAGAAGGAACATATGTCACTCCATATAACTCTCTAACCATTCCATCAAATATCTTGATGCAAATTTTACTTATCCCAAGGAGCTGGCATGCACGGTTATCACCCATATATACCACACCACTATTAGGATTCCCAAAACTAGAGAACCAATCCATTTTAGGGCACACATGATAGGTTGCACCACTATCCAATATCCATTCAGATTCCTCCGAATAGTCAACTATGAGACTGATAGAAAGTGAATAAACAGATGAGTCAGAAAAATTACCATCCGATATGACGATGTTTGCTTCTAATGATGGTTGCTTTCCCTTTCCCTTCTGCTTATTCTTCATCCATTCACTGAGCTTTGGACAATCTTTCTTCTAATGACCAGTTTCTTTATACCAAGCACACTAATCTTTGCCAACTGTAGGATATCCTACTCTAGACTATGACTTCTCATTTTTTCGATTTGGATTCTTACCTCTTGCGATCAATGCCTCTGCTATTATGTCACTTGTAGACTCTTTATCTTTCTTTCTTAGTTGGTAATTCACAAGGGTAGTGGTTACCTCACTATACGAAAGAGACGTCTTCCCATTAATTAGGCTAAGAACTAAGGTCTCATATTCTTCATTTGGTAAGGAACTCAACAATAACAATGTCTTGTCTTCATACTCTATAATAACATCCATATTCGCCAAATCGACATTTCGTGTAGTTGTTCGTGTGATCACTAATTGAAATTCCCTTCTTCAACTTGAAACGGTAAAGTCTCCTCTTCAAATGCAAGCGATTCTCAACACTCTTAGTCAAATACTTTCTTTCAAGAATCTCCCAAATCTTCTTTTACAGAATTCTCATGCATCACATCATACTATAGATCCTGCGTTAAACAAGACCTAATAACACCACACGCCATTTGATTTATCTTCTTCCAAACCTTCTCTTCTATATCATCTGGCTTGTCATCCAATTCCAAAGTATCCTCCAAATTTTGTGCGTTCAACGTATCCAAAATCTCACATCTCTATAATCCAAAATTGTTTGTGCCATTAAACTTCTCCACATCTATCTTCGTAGAGTGGATATTCAAACTCTGAATGGTCTTCATGCTAGAAGCACCACCCTCACCACCTTCTTTCCCAGACATCTTCCACAAAACACCAACAACTAATACGGGACAAACTGAAGAATAGATCCAAACTGAGAAAAGATAAATTCTTTACCAAAAAGATACCACTTTTATCTCTAATTGAAACCCTAGACGAGCTTCCAAAGCGATCTACTCCTCCACCTAACCCTAAGCATAGCCTGAGGCTCTGATACCACTTGTTAGGAGTGTTGCGCATGTTTTGAGGATTCACAAATTTGCCGAGATAGAAGGCATACAAATCAACTAATAATAGCACAAACTAAAATACAGAAGTTTAACGTAGTTCGATAAATTGCCTACGCCCACGGGGCAAGAAGGGGATGAGTTTTCACTATAAAGAAAGAGAGTATAAAATAGAGATTACAATACCACTTAAAAGCTCATAAATATTCTCTTAAACTAAACTCTCAAATCTCTCACAAAACCCTCAAACAAATTGCTCAGAAAAAACTCTCTTTTCTATGCTCAAAACTCTCCTTCAAACTACCCCAAAACTCAATCAATACGATCGGAAACCCTAAACAAATCGTGTTCTATTTATATTAAATTGAAATCCCAAACAGTGCAGGAAATCGAAGCAGGCCCAGACCCGACTCGCGGTCGACCACTGAAATCGTCACGGTCAAGCGACCAGAAAGACAGAAACATAAAATCGACTACAGTGTTTGGCGGTCGACCGCGGCGGTCTACCGCGACCTGTGTCGAAATCTTCCCTATGTTGTGCACGTTTGCGGCCGACCGCGACGAACTCAGCGGTCGACCGTACAACACTCAAAATGTTTCCAGCTTCAAATTTCCTGAACCTCGTCAATGTGTGCGTCGTTTCTACAATTGACTTAACCCATATACCCTGAACTTGAACATATTTCCTTTGTAGCAGAATGCTAGGATATATCCAACCCCTAACTTATGCGCCCATACGAGTCCCACCTGGCCATCACCACTAAAATACATGTAATTCTCTTGCTTATAATCCTTACTAACATTGATACGCCATGGTTCACCATTTGGGCTGACTAATCTAGCTGTTTCCATTTTGCATGTCTCCTTCACAATGTTCTTCACAAAAGCAGTAGGAATAACCGGCATTAATAAAACAGTCACAATTTATCAAGATATCAGAATGATTTTGCGAGGAGCAACAGCGAGATAGAGACCAATTTCTTAGAGAGCAGGCAAGAGAGGCTAGAAGAAATGAAGATTGCCATGCCCACCATCTTTGTTGTCCGGCTCTTAAGCCTGTAAACAATCTTGATGGGATAGAATTTGAGAGGTCACTAATTGGTCTTTTCAGGTAATGTGCTCTAATGAGCTCTTTTTATAGCATTTAAGGAAAATCATGAGCACCTGTTTCAGAATTTATTCTACAATTAAATGGACTTGGTGGTGGTGGCGCAAAATCAATAAGGCTTAGGGAAGTTTGTAAGTCTCTTGCCTCTTAACATCAACTATATCTTTGGCGTTTGTGATGGGCAGTCACTCATAATGATGGATTTTTGTGTATTACTTCTGCAAAAGAATTTACTCCCAAAAAAAAATTGATCAAAGAACTCAGTACTCTAGTAGCCGCTAGATCACTTCTCAAGATGCCTACTAGATCTCTGGATTTGTGCACTGATCAATGATCGATAACACCTTGTGAGGAACCAACAGTGTCATGGACCAGAACCACTGGAAAGCGAGTTTATGCAACTATACAGAGTAATTTGTGATGTTATGTTTCATTTGCTGAAACAATGTTGTAATTATAATCCAACTAAGAAAATTGCCCAATTTTGTTTTGTTATCTATTTGTAAAAGGTAGTATTTTGTAACCATTGTATTCATAAAAAGAAGGCGAGGAAGTTTTTTTGAATACCACAGAAGGAGCATATGATAATACCCACTACAAGTATAGACAGAACAATAGTTCGACACTAACAAAACTAGCCAAAACCAGAAGAGGAAGAAGAAAAAGAAGCCAAGTCATCAAGATACTTTCTTCCATACTGAACAAGGCCATTGCTCTCTTTGGATCCAAGTTTGAATACGCATTTATCTCCTACTTTCAACTCATTAGGCTATTAGGTCTGAAAAGAATTTGTATAGCCTTCAGTTAGTAACTCGCGGGATTGAGCTAACTACTGAAACTTTTAAGAAAGGGGGGAAAAACTGCATGTATACCTTATTCTTTTGTTTTGTCTCTTGTTGTCCTCCTCTTCTTTTTCGGGGTGAGTTTAGCCGGAAGCAAGTTTTCATCGATGCGGTTAATCGCTCACAGGACTGAACTATATAAAATTAAATGAAAATAGAGAATACATTAAAATTGGATGCGGTTAATCGCTCACAGGACTGAACTATATAAAATTAAATGAAAATAGAGAATACATTAAAATTGATGTAAGGAAAACAAAGAGAGGTTGCATATACATACCATGCTCTCCTCCGAATTTGACTCCTGACATTTTCTTCTTCTCCTTCATCTTCTTCTTATCAATGCTTTCTTTCTTCTTTATTGAAACTTTCATCAACAATATGCCATTGTTCTCTTCTGATCCCAACTCGAATATGCACTTATCCCCTTGTTTCAACTCATTAGCACAAGCAAATTTATTCCAACCAGTAGTCATACTAGTCCTACTTTCAAATTTATTAGTTTTGTGCCTAAGTTGAACCTGCCAAGATCGTCCCTTAGGATCCATCAGAGTCAAACTGTTGTACTCTGTCAAGCCATTGGCGGCTCTAAATTTCGCTGGAATATTCTGTATTCATTCATCTTATGAGAGAAATTACTCATCAAAAGATATTTTTACCAGCAAGAGTTAGTTTACTAGTTAACTGAGTGTTACCAAGTAAGGGTGAACTAGGTTGCAAGGCCATATGGGGGCCTCAAATTTGTTTATCCCTCTTGGAGGACTTGAATTGTTTCTATTCATCATCTCAGTGTACCCCGAGTTCATACATCTCTTAATAGAGGGTTCATCTGGAAAAGAATTTCGAGCATGTGGACTTCAGTTAGTAACTCACAGGATTATAAGTAAATAATTAATAAGCTTCAAGTACACAAAAAATAATAATTGTATGTATACCAGATTCACTTGTTTTCCCTCCTGATGTCTTCCTCTTCCGTTTAGGGATGAGTTCTTCTGAAAAAAAGCTAAATGAAGTTACATGACTGCAAGCTAATATATTACATGACTGAACTATAACTAATTAATGAAATAATGAATTAGTAATAAATGACATCTACAATGGAAACAAAAGAAAGAACACATACACATACCATGTTCTTCCTCGATTTTGACTTCCGAAATTTTCTTCCTCCGCTTCACCATCTTCTTCTCATCAATGCTTTCTTTGTTTTCCTTCTCATAACCCACTTTCAGAATAGCTAGTGCAAGAGATTATTTTTCTTAAATTGGAGAATCACATGCGTACAATCGATAAAGCATAAACCAATATATATAGCAGTGAATTAAGTTTGAATTTATATATGATACCTCCTCCTCATTGGCAACTTTTATTTCTGTTATATTGTTTAGCTAGTTAAGCCCACAAGGTTTCCCAGAAGAGTTGGTCAAAATATAATCAAATGGGAAAAACAATTCTATATATACCAGATTCTTTCTTATTCTCAATATTTTCTTCTGGTGTCTTCTTCTTCTCAGGGGTAAATTCATATGGAAACGAGGATTTCATGGATGCAGGCATAAATGCATGCCCATGTAAGTTAATAGCTCACAGGATTGATCTAGATATATAAATAGAGAATACATTAAAATTGATGTAAGGAAGAGAGGTTGCATATACATACCATGCTCTCCTCCGAATTTGACTCCTGACATTTTCTTCTTCTCCTTCATCTTCTTCTTATCAATGCTTTCTTTCTTCTTTATTGAAACTTTCATCAACAATATGCCATTGTTCTCTTCTGATCCCAACTCGAATATGCACTTATCCCCTTGTTTCAACTCATTAGCAGAAGCAAATTTATTCCAACCAGTAGTCATACTAGTCCTACTTTCAAATTTATTTGTTTTGTGCCTAAGTTGAACCTGCCAAGATCGTCCCTTAGGATCCATCAGAGTCAAACTGTTGTACTCTGTCAAGCCATTGGCGGCTCTAAATTTCGCTGGAATATTCTGTATTCATTCATCTTATGAGAGAAATTACTCAACAAAAGATATTTTTACCAGCAAGAGTTAGTTTACTAGTTAACTGAGTGTTACCAAGTAAGGGTGAACTAGGTTGCAAGGCCATATGGAGACCTCAAATTTGTTTATCCCTCTTGGAGGACTTGAATTGTTTCTATTCATCATCTCAGTGTACCCCGAGTTCATACATCTCTTAATAGAGGGTTCATCTGGAAAAGAATTTCGAGCATGTGGACTTCAGTTAGTAACTCACAGGATTATAAGTAAATAATTAATAAGCTTCAAGTACACAAAAAATAATAATTGTATGTATACCAGATTCACTTGTTTTCCCTCCTGATGTCTTCCTCTTCCGTTTAGGGATGAGTTCTTCTGAAAAAAAGCTAAATGAAGTTACATGACTGCAAGCTAATATATTACATGACTGAACTATAACTAATTAATGAAATAATGAATTAGTAATAAATGACATCTACAATGGAAACAAAAGAAAGAACACATACACATACCATGTTCTTCCTCGATTTTGACTTCCGAAATTTTCTTCCTCCGCTTCACCATCTTCTTCTCATCAATGCTTTCTTTGTTTTCCTTCTCATAACCCTCTTTCAGAATAGCTAGTGCAAGAGATTATTTTTCTTAAATTGGAGAATCACATGCGTACAATCGATAAAGCATAAAACAATATATACAGCAGTGAATTAAGTTTGAATTTATATATGATACCTCCTCCTCATTAGCAACTTTTATTTCTGTTATATTGTTTAGCTAGTTAAGCCCACAAGGTTTCCCAGAAGAGTTGGTCAAAATATAATCAAATGGGAAAAACAATTCTATATATACCAGATTCTTTCTTATTCTCAATATTTTCTTCTGGTGTCTTCTTCTTCTCAGGGGTAAATTCATATGGAAACGAGGATTTCATGGATGCATAAGCCTATATAAAGGCACTTTTAGTTGATGAATAACATAGCAAAAAAATTATCTCCTCATCTACTCTCTAATTTCCAACATGGTATCAGAGCTCCAGTTTTCTTGGGTTTGTGAGGATTTTAAAAAAATAGAGTGATCAATCTTTGTTTTTTAATGGCATCCAACAATTTTTCGCTTCCATACCCCATCCTCAATGGAGACAATTATCAATCTTGGGCTATCAAGATGAAATCTCATTTGAAAGCTTTGAGTTTATGGGAGGTTGTTGAGAGTGATTATGAGCCGACCCCTCTTCCACAAAATCCAACCCTAAAACAAATCAAGAAGCACGACGAAGAAAAAGCAAAGAAGCCAAAAGCCCTATCTTGTATTCATTAGGCTATGTCGGACGGAATCTTCACAAGTATAATGACTTGTGAATCACCTAAGGAGGCGTGGGAGATGCTAAAGGAAGAATTCGAAGGCAATGATCAAACAAAATTGATGCAAGTTCTTAATCTCAAAAGGGAATTTGAGATGCAAAAGATGAAGAAAGGTGAGACCATCAAAGTGTATGTCGGTAAGCTTATGGCTATTATCTATCAAATTAGATTGCTTGGTGAAACATTTTCAAATGAAAGAGTGATTGATAAAATTTTAGTTACTGTTCCCGAAAGGTATGAGTCCAAAATTTCCTCACTTGAAGATTCCAAAGACCTATCCAAAATAACTCTTGTGGATTTAGTCAATGCCCTCAGTGCCGTAGACCAAAGGAGAGCAATGAGGAATGAAGAAAATGGTGAAAAAATTGAAGAAGCCTTATTAGCCAAGACTTCATCATCAAAAGGGAAAGGCAAATGCGTCCAATGCAACAATTGTAAGAAACTTGGTCATGAGGAGAAGGATTGTTGGCATAAAGGAAAACCTCAATGTCACAAATGCAAGAGATTCGGTCATATCCAAAAATATTGTCGATATAATGGTGAAGAACAAGCAAACATGGCACAAGCAGTTGAAGAAGAAATTTTATTCTAGGAATCATGGTGAGATGTGCGCCATGGAGAGATTGAGACAAGTGCTTGTGGAGAGAAATGCTCCTTTAAGAAATGTTGGTGATTATGTGCGTCAACAAGATTGAGATGAGAAGTGCATCACAAAGTGAAAAGAAGTGCTCTATGAAGATTCAAAATGAATGACAAGAAACTTTGAATCAAGGGGGAGTGTTGAAGAATGATTCAAAGTTGACTTTGTCTTTTATTTTGTTAGTGGAGTAGTGGTTAATAAATCTGAAATTAGTTTAGATTTTTATGGTTATTAAGCTGTTTTGTAAGCCTATATAAAGGCACTTTTAGTTGATGAATAATATAGCAAAAATTATCTCTTCATCTACTCTCTAATATCCAACAGCATACAGAAACCTTTTTCTTTCTTGAGTCTGACTTCTAATACTTTCTTCTTTTCCTGCTCCTCCTTTTCAGTAATTTCTCTCTCCTTGTCCCCGTCATCCTCCTCTTTGAGAACATTAAAACAGAGATAGGATGTTAGCTTCTATCAGATAGAAAATCATAGAATCAGCTATTAAAAATAGAACAAGCATAAATTGATAAATTAAATTCGCAGACCAAATTCGTCCTCATCTGCAACCTCGATCACTCTTATCTTCTCCTTCATTTTCCTCTGTTTACTAATATTCTTACTTTTCGTATTGACCTTCACATTTTCATTACCATTATCATCGTGAGCATCAATAGAAGCATAGGAGGTTATGTCACATGCACTCAAGTCATACACTCTAAACTTGAACAACGCATTTCCTTTGTAGCAGAACACTAGGAAGTATCCTTCCCGTAACTTATGTGCACGTATGAATCTTAGCCACCCATCTCCAGTAAAATACATGCAATTCTCTGAGTTATAATCCATATAAACATTGACATGCCATGATCCCCCATTAGGACTGATTAAGGTAGCTGTTTTTGTTTTGAATTTCTCGGCTTTCACAATCTGCTTGACAAAAGCAGTAGGAAACACCTGTATTCAAACAGTTACAAGTATCAAGATGTCGAAAAGTAAAAAGAGAGATAGAGCAGTAGGAAACACCTGTATTCAAACAGTTACAAGTATCAAGATGTCGAAAAGTAAAAAGAGAGATAGAGGGGGAGAGAGAGGATCAAGAGCGAGATAGAGACCAGTTTCTTCGAGAAACCAGGCAAGAGAGGCTTGAAGAAATGAAGATTCTGAAGCCCACCATCTTTCTTCTCCATCTTCCCAATGATACGGAGTAGAGAATTGGAAAGGTTACCTGTTTTATACGTATAATATTTGGATCGTTGGGGCCCTTTTATAAATGGCTGATGAGAAGGTGAGGATCAATTCATCAGCATTAATCGTTCTGCAATTAAGCAAGTTCCGTTTTTTTTAACACATTAATGTGCACACTGTACAGTCAATATCCTGTCTTGGGAAGTTGATAAATATCCGTCTTTATTCATGATGCTTAGTTCTTCGGAGAAAAATATCATGTTCCCACTTCGCGGAATCCAATACAGCATGTGGAAATGAAAAATTCTTCAATGACCTAAAATATGGGACCAATAGAGAGGATAAGTGAGATGTCCACCTCCTATTGGATAATGAGTTGACCTAAAATATGGGACCAATATGGGACCAAAATTCATCACTTGTCCTCCCTATTGGTCCCATATTTTGGGTCCCTGTAGCAAAGCTCTGTGGAAATTTTCGTTGTGATATCTCATTTAAATTAGGGTTTATTGTACTATTAGTCCCCCATATCTTTCATAGTTTGAAATTAGTCGCCAAGGTCTTCATATTTTGAAAGTAGTCATCTAAATTTTTTAAGGACCCGATTTGTTTGCATAGAAATAGTTAAGAAGGCTATTTTTGCTACTTTTGAGCAAAAAATTATGTTTGTTCTTGGCAAAAATATCAAATTGCTATATTTTATTTATCCTTAGTAACAATTTGGTATATATTTTTTCCCGGCGAAATATTAGTACATATTTTTTCTCCGGCGATATATTATTTGTTCTCTGGCGATAAATGGGCCTCAAATTTGGCCGGATTCAAATTTCTAGCGAAATTTTTCATGTGATGCTAACGTGGCTACCACCGTGGCTCCTTGTGACAAATAATTGCAACTAATCTCATCCAAATCATCCCCTTCTCCCTAAAAAATCTAGAAATCAAGGTATTAAAGCTCACCACATTGAGAGTCTTGGGAGGATTTGAAGAGGTCGAAGGTCTTGAAAGTGTCAAAGAGGCAAGTGGAGCAGAGGAGGGAGGAGAGGGAGAGGTGGAGGAGGAGGAGGAAGGAGATTGATGGGTTAGGGTTTGGGATTGGAGCTGATTTATGACGCTAGAAGCAACACGAGTAGCCACGTTCGCACCACATGAGGCGTCACGTGAGAAATTCCGCCTGATATTTGGGTCCGACCAAATTTGAAACCCATTTGCCGCAAGAGAAAAATAATATATCAATATGGTGCCGAAAAAATATACCAAACTATCACTAAGAGTAAATAAAATAGAGGTTTGCTTCGGTGCTCCAAAAATAGTTTTTTTTAATTTTTAAATTGACAAAAATAACAAATTATCTAAAATAAGAAAGGGTATTTTAGTCTTTCAAAAATCTCTTTCTCAATCTCACGTCTCAGTTCCACCCGCACAAAAGAAAAAAAGGGGGAAAAAGAAAAGAACCATTTGAATTTCCTTACTTGTAGTTTCTCTTATTTTTGCATAGTGATAGAAAATACATGTCCTGCACCGTTTGTAATTTTTTTCCATTTAATCAACTTTACTTCTCAATCTCACGAATGGGGTTAATTAGAAACCAATTGAACCCTCCTCACGCCAGGCAGTCTATTTCCAAAAGAAAATCTATCTTTATATAGAAAAACAAATGATTACTAATTTGGAGAACGAGAAATTTAAGGGCTTAACAACTACATCATACTATATAATTAAATTTTTTTTAAAAAGGAAAAATAAGAGGTACCTTTCATGGCATTCTCTTTCTCTTCACGAGATTTTTTAGGAGTCTTACCGGTTTCTTCTAATGGAAAGTGCGGAGAAAAGCTTCAGTTTTAATAGTTAATTAAAGAATTCTAATTAATGATAAATTATGTTTCTCCTATAAATTATATGTCCTAAAATAACATTTTTACCCATAGTTAATTACAATTTTGGGTGTGGAACACCTCATAACCATCAAATCTATCTACCTAGAACATAGTTAATTACAATTTTGGGTGTGGAACACCTCATAACCATCAAATCTATCTACCTAGAATTGTGAGAGCTATTTTTAAGGAATTTTGGGTGTGGAACACCTCATAACCATCAAATCTATCTACCTAGAATTGTGAGAGCTATTTTTAAGGAATATATTTACGGATATGCCATCATTACTCTAACTAATCTCTATAGAGCACCGAAGTTGTAGGCTTTAAAATATACCAATTTGATATTTTTACCGTTTGTTCTTTTACATCATTAAATGTTGACGTGACACCTTTATTTCCCAGATTTTCTCATGCTTTGAGGGCTTATAAATAGAGCCGAACTAGATGAAGAGTGGGGTCCACATGGAAAGTAGGGATTCTAAAAAACAATTGACACTCTAATAATTGACACTCTCATATACCTAATAAAATCTCAAGTGACATTCTAACCATTGCTTCAGTTCGAACTTTAATATTTCTATAAAAACATAATATGGTCATACGACTCATACATTTCCTGAAAGTTAGATTAGCATTCAACTTGTGCGTCATTTTCCACTCGTCATTTTCCACTACTCGTAGTAAAAATCAGTGATCAAGTTTGTGTAATCTTCCCAATTCGATGGTTTATATGGGTCATCTTTGCACATCAGTCCTCTTAAATTAAAAAGAATCATATTTTGTACTAAGGAGTTTTATTTTATCCCCCTTCTTTTACCCTTGTTTACTTTTGAACCCACATGTCTTTATACACTGAAACATCCAGCCTTACTTTTTATAAATCAAAAGTTCATGTTAATGCACTACTTAATGTACTATGAACTGCTGGAATAGTGTTATATTTCCTTAAACATCAAATACATTTTTATTGAATATTAATTAAGTTTTATTATTGCACATGTTATTTGGGTATCTTTTATATAATTAGAAATTATTTTGTTAGATCATGCACTGTGATGGTCACTTGCTTAGAGATATGATCTAATTCAGATGTTTCTTAAATTTGCGCTTAACCTATAACTAGTAAAGAATAACTTTTCTATAACAGGTTATTATGCATGACAATAACATATAAGATGTGATGGTTGATCTCAGCTATCGGGAATGAAGATTCGTCGGGTGTATGGCATAAGAGATAGAGATAGGGAATTTGATATGTGTAGCACAAGACCTTATATGGATTCTCTAGGACAAGTCACCTAAGAGAGAGAGAATTTGAATTGTTATGTGGTCCCTTAGACTTGATGATATTATCATTTTCGATTTGATAATTTAGTATATTTTGATAAAATGATTAAGCTTATTTTACAAGTGCTATACAACCTGAAATGATGGGTTACTAGATTTTATTTAGGAAAATGATGCATATCTA